AGAACATTTCGATGAAGGCGTATTTAGTTAGCCCATGTTACAGATGGCGAAATGGAGGGTAGACCGTTGAGGTGCCCTAGGTACCGCAGCTAACCTTCGGTAGAAGGAGGTTGGAAGCCAGGTCTCCGGATGTGAGAACCCCTGCTTGGTCTACGACACGTGCCATTGAGGCAGTCTGTTAGAGCCCAGAACTAGACTTTAGAATCATCTGGGGGACTTGCAGACGAGGAAGTCAGAACCTCTTGGTGCGGTCCCGGCCGCCCAGGGAAGAGCTGCTGAGCACTCAGCGTCCCCTCGAGCACTAAGAGGACAGCCTGTCTCTCCATTATCCTGGGACGAGGAGGAAAAGTGTAGAGGGAAGATGCTGAGAGCGTGTTGCACACGTTGAGTGTGAGGTTTTACAAGAAGTTGGCACAGAGACGGCCACTGGCAAGTGGAGATTTGTCGTGAGACGCAGCAGGACTCGCTCACTTTCCCAAATGCGTGCAGATGGGATGTGAACGCCCCAAAGAAGGGGAGAAGGTGAACGGCAAGAACTGCCCAGGTCCTTCTGGAGCCGTCAGACGGTGCTCTTGTGTCTGTGTGTATACATCTCTCTCTCTTGAAAACGTGCTAAGTGACAAAAACGGACTGGAAGGGCCACATACTATGTGACACCACTGGTATAAAATGTCCACAGTACGCAAATCCATAGTGACAGAAAGTAGATTTGCGGTTTCCAGGGGCTGTGGGAAGAGAGGAGTGGGGGGTGGCTGCTAATGGTATGCAGTCTCTTTTGGGAGTGACAAGTTTCTAAAATTGATTCCGGGGGTGGTTACACAACTCTGGGAATATACTAAAACCCATTTCCAATGGGTGAATCACGTGGCAGATGAATTATATCTCAATTAAAAAATAACGGTATACAGTAAAACCTTGGTTTGCGAGCGTAATTCGTTCCAGAAACATGCTTGCAATCCAAAGCACCTGTCTATCAAAGCGAATTTCCCCATAAGAAATAACGGAAACTCAGATAATTCATTCCACAACCCAGAAACACTCATGTAAAAATGATTATACAAAATGCAAAATAATACAAAATAATAAAGAAATACAAATACTATAATACAAAATAATAAAGAAATACATAAAGAAATAATAAAGAAAATACAAAATAAAAGGAAAAATAAATTAGCCTGCACTTAACCTTTGAAACCCTTTGTGGCTGGTGTGAGGGAGACAGGAGAGAGGAGGGTTATCGTGTAGGACAACTTTCACTATCACTAACGGAATCACCTCTATCTGTTGGCTCAATGGAATCTTTTTCTTTTGGTGCACCTTTAACAAGGAACCTATCCCGTGACCCAGAATGAAGCAAAGCATTCCTAAACTTACTCTTATAGGGAAAGGCAAAGGACTGTCCATAGGTGCTTTGAAGTAACAAAAAATACACCAGTGCCAGTTGTAGGCACCTTCCAAAATTCTGAAAAATCACTGATTTCTGCCAAACACCATGACCTGCAACCGAGCATCTGAGTATGGGAGAAGATCACCCACAATCCCGCAGGGAGAGAGAGAGAGAGAGAAGAACCGTCGGCTCAGTTGTGATCACGTGATGTTCGGCATCACGTGCTATTTTATTGCAAGACATCGCTCGTTTATCAAGTTAAAATTTATCAGAAACATTTGCTCGTCTTGCAGAACACTCACAGAACAAGTTATTCGCAATCCCAGGTTTTATTGTATGTATACATGTATGTCGCTCAAACTGTCATTATTTACTCGACCAAAAATAAAATCCAAAATAAAATTACAAGTTATATCCAACCTTTAATTTGATGTGGGCACCTTGGCTCATTATGCAGAGTCAACACACCCTTTATTCAGCTCCCCCTTCATAGGTTACCTTAACTGTCAGCACAAGAAACAAAATCCTGTAAATTAGGACATGGGAGGACAGTTTAAGGAATAATTACATTCTCTATCTCAAGAACCGCATTTATATGCAGTAGAGAAAAAGCTCATGATCCTTTGTGCCTTGATTGTTCCCTGTGGGAACCATTCTCACCTGGCCTCTAACATACAGGTTCTTCTATATTTGGGTATTTAAAAACTGGGCTAGAAAAGGAAAAACTGAACACAGGGTCTTTCCTTCGGATTTGCGTTAAAATATGCATTTGAGGGGTGCATGGGTGGCGCAGTCGGTTGGGCGTCCGACTTCAGCCAGGTCACAATCTCGCGGTCCGTGAGTTCGAGCCCCACGTCGGGCTCTGGGCTGATGGCTCGGAGCCTGGATCCTGTTTCCGATTCTGTGTCTCCCTCTCTCTCTGCCCCTCCCCCGTTCATGCTCTGTCTCTCTCTGTCCCAAAAATAAATAAACGTTGAAAAAAAAAATTCCTTTTTAAAAAATATGCATTTGAGGGGCACCTGGATGGCTCAGTTGGTTAAGCATCTGACTTCAGCTCAGCTCATGATCTCACGGTTCGTGACTCCGAGCCTCACATCAGGCTCTCTGCTGTCAGCATCGAGCCCTCTTCGGATTCTCTGTCCCCCCCCACCTCGCTCGGCCCCTCCCCAGCTCACTCACATGCTTTCTCTCGCTGTCTCTGTCTCTCTCTCTCTCTGTCTCTCTCTCTCAAAAATAAAATTAAAAAAAAATTTTTTTAATGAAAAAAGTATGCATTTGATCTTGGTCCACAATTTTTAAGCCTGAACAGCACAGATGTTTGGACAGTGGCACCAGGTTTCATTATCGCTGGGTTGTCCTCCTGACATGTTGGAACTGGGTATCGAAACACGCGAGGTAACCTGAAGCAGTCCTTCCAGCTGACTTCAAAGGAGAGGAAAGTGTTAACAAAAGTAGAAAGGAGTGTTTGGAAACAGCCTTAGCTATTTCACGGCCGACTTTGGGAGGACTCCAGACCAGGGATTCTAAATACCATAGTAGTCAAGTAAAGTGTTCTTATACAAGTAAAATGAGCCTGCCTGGCAGCCTGTGCAGAAGGAAGCCTCACTCCAAACATAATATTTGATGCTGTCCACACTTTAGCACTCTGTTACCGTTGGCTTACGTATCAGATGTGATGTTTTCTCTGGTGGTTGTTTAAAGAAAGGGGGCTGGAAAAATCCCCAGTTTGTTGGTATGGCGGGAGGAAAACTGTGCATACGCAAGCTCGGATCCCTCTCCAAACTAAACACGTATACGGCACCTTCAGTTGCAAGGGAACGGCGTTTAGTGTTACTTCCCAACGCCTTGCGAAGGACATTAATACTCCGTATCCATTTTACTAACGTATTTAAAGCAAAGGGGTCTCCAGGAAGTTTTCTCCACATACAATTCCTACAGCTGGAGCGGAAACCAATTCTGAAACATCTCCTCTTCTAAATTATGCCTCTGCCTGGCTTTCGCCATCAGAAGCTCCTGAAGCTGTACTGTCGGGGAAGTGGGCTCAGGGCCCCAGATGCTCATGTGCCAGAGTCGCGGATCCCCAAACGGGTCCGCATTTATTCGGCCTTCTGCACAGCCTTGCTTGACAGAGTAAAAGGCAAAGTAGGGGCCTCCTGTTAGGAGAAGTTCCATTCTTCTGAGAAGCTTTTCTTTCTCAGTGGACAGCGAACTATCCAGAGCAATCCTGGAAGAAGTCATTTGTTCACGGCTGGAGGCTGATTTGCCGCCCCGCAGAAGCACACGCAGTGCAAGAAGACACGCGGCGAGTCGGGGGTTTTTCTGCACATTCAGCAGGGCACTGCGCTCGAACAACCGCTTGAAGAATGCTGAAGTCATGTGTCGCTGCGCACTGGAACAGTTCTTTGTGCAGCAGAAAAGCTTGACTGGTAGCTTCAGGGAGAGAGTCACGCACAACTGGTCCTACCCGCCCCGGATTTTCAGTTCGGGGCCACGGAGAGCTTATTTCAAATCCACAGATAGTCTCAAAACAACTTCAGACTCTCTTTCAACCACCCCCCCCCCCCCCCCCAGCCAGACCTTTCAGTAAAGATGCTAACAGGCTGCCAAACTGAAAATAGTAATTTCTCCTCTCCTCCACGTACTTTATCTGCCTGGCTGGGCAAGAAGATCACTCTGGACGTTCGCCGAATGAAAGTTTCGTTTGCCAGCTAGTGGCCCACGGGCCCACCCAGCCTCAGATGATGTATTTTGTTTGGCCTTTACTGTGTTTTCAAGAAATGTGTGAGTTGTCAACCTGTAAAACTCAGGACATTCCGCTTAAAAATCTACATTTCTGGTTTCTCTTAAAATTCTGAAGTTCTGGTGATCCCAGGCCCACATTCTCAAGGCATACAGTGTGGTGAGGCCAAGGGGTAGCTCTGTGCTCCGGACCAGACGTCCGTGGTGACGCGGTCCCTGCCAGTGTGAAGTGTCACCTACTGATGAACAAGATTCTCCCACACATGCCAGAGTCCTCAATTCACAGATGGGTGAAATGAGTTCAGTTTAGGGTACAGGACTTCACTCTCATGTCCAAGAGAAATAACCACTGTATCAAACCCAGAGACCATAAGGAACAGCACACTTAGCTGGAAGACAGGTAACACGGCTGTGTGACACAACTCCCCTCTCTCTGTGCTGCTACCTCAGTTTCCTTACCTGCACTGTGGAGGTATTAGTAGCTGCCACTCGTCATCTTATTCAGTAATTCAGTCATCTAATAGCATCTATACAGAGGGGCCAACATCGAGTGTTTAAAGTCTCACAACAAGGATCCACAAGTAGGATTTCATTTTCCCCACATATAAAGGGTCACAATAATAAACCTCTCTGCACCTGGCATATTCTGTATTCTCAATCATCGTGAGTTGTGTGTGTGTGTGTGTGTTTTAAAGTACCAACTGTTTGCCAAGATTTGTGCTAGGCCTTGGAAATATGAGTTTTTTTGGGTTTTTTTTGTTTTTTTTTTTAGGAGTTCCATTATCAGGCTTCTAACATAAGAGGTGCTTGGTATTTAGGGGGCCATATTTGAATCAGAACATTTCCCCCCAGAAAAGTATACACACACACTAACTTGCATAACATTCCAGGGGTGTGGCAGTTCCTAAAGCATGTTCAGGGGGCCTGCTCCATTGGGTAGGTCCTCACGAGGGGCGATCCCACAGGATGCGGAAGTGGTGGTTCCAGAAGATGCAAGAGTCTCACGAAGGAATAGCCAGGCAGCGCGGTTCTATGTGAGAGCAAGGGGCAGAGGTGAGATGGGCAGTAAGAGCAATTTTTAATGGACACGACATCACTCTTTTTTTTTTTCAGATGGAGAAAATATTCCTATTACAACTCATGCAGTCAGACCTAGCATTTTGTCTATCTCTCACGTGTGTAACTGCAGTTCCTTTTTAAAAAAAAATTTTTTTAATGTTTATTTATTTTTGAAAGAGAGAGAGAGTGCAAGCAGGGGAGGGGTAGAGAGAGGGGGAGACAAAGAATCCGAAGCAGGCTCCTGTCTCCGAGCTGTCAGCACAGAGCATGAGGCGGGGATCGAACTCACAAACCGCGAGATCATGACCTGAGCCTAAGTCAGACGCTTAACCGACTGAGCCACCCACGCGCCCCAGCAGCTACTGTGATACATGGTATGTTCTGGAATTATCTTCTCTCCTACGATGCTTTAACCCTTTTTATCTAAATAGCTCTAAGTCATCTTGGGTATGGAGACTCATCTCAGTATTTATTAAGCCGGACCACTGCTTTTGCATAGGGTTGATTAGGCATATTGGCTTTTGTCCATATTCCAGTCTTTTCCTAGTCTTCAACCTGTAGTTCCCAGTATGCACAGAACTAATTGCACATGGGACCTGATTATCTGTTGGTGACCCAGATGGGGCCAATGGTCACTCTGGGCCACCTCTGCCCTTGAGCCTCTCTGACCTTTAGGTTGGATGCAGCACTTTTCACGTTCCCTCCAAAACAAATCCAACTGCAAAAGTACTGGGAGGTGGGGAGGTAGGTTTTACTTAGAGTGTGGGAGACAGAGTGAAAATTCACTGCATTTCTCATCAAAATGCCCACTAGACAACCCCCACCTGCTGAAGCTTTTCTCTTTCAAAGGCCAGACTCTGGTCTTTCCTCTATCTTCACCCACTCTGTAGCCTGTGCTAATTCAGAGAACGGAACTTCTAAGCTTCTGCAATTTTGCTTCCTCATTCCTGTTATTTAATACCGGGTGAATTATGAGAAAGCTTCCGCGCCGAGGATGACAATTTTGTTTACACCATCCAACAAGCAACAAGCCCTCCTTAGTATTCCTGCTATTTGTGGGGGGGTTAGGAGGAAGTTAAGTCACAAACATATCTTCCTCTCCTCCCCACCCCCACCCTACCAACAACTGACATTCTTCACTTATTGCCTTGACGGCACCCTTGATGTTAGAACACATAAACTCATCTCTCATTTTTGGACAGCCGCACGGTGTGCCATTGTACATACGCAGGATGATGCATTGAGCCATGCCCAGGAATTTACTTTATTTTCCTTTTTCCTGTTACAAACAGTGTGACAAATATCGCACACTTGTGTATGGGTAGGATAAATTACTGGAATCGGTATTTCTGTGTCATGAATGTGTACGTTACAACGTTTAGTAGATACTGTTATCCAGGGATTTGTCTCCCAACCCATTGTGTAGAAGAGACTATTTTTGTTTTCCTAAGATTACCTCGTTTTTTATGTTTGTGTACTCACGGTCCCACCTTGATTCAGTAAAGGTTTAAGGTGGGTGGCAGAGAAATAGAACTTATAGGCAGATGGGAAGGGAAAACAGAAAGATAAAGACATAAAATGGGGGCGCTGGATGGCTCAGTCAGTTGAGCGTCCAACTCTTGATTTCATCTCAGGTCATGATCCCAGGGCTGTGGGATGGAGCCCCGCATTGGGCTCTGCACTGAGTGTGGAGCCTACTTCAGATTCTATCTCTCCTTCTGCGCCTCTCCCCGGTTTCCGTGCTCTCTCTCTCTCTCTCTCTCAAAAAAAAAAAAAAATTTAAAAAATACATAAAATGGACTTGTGAGTAAGTAAGCGTATTGTAAAAATTCATTCAAAGTCACTCATAAACATCCATTCAAATTGGGGCACCTGCGTGGCTCAGCCGGTTGAGCATCCAACTTTGGCCCAGGTCATGATCTCACAGCTAGTGAGTTTGAGCCCCGCGTCGGGCTCTGTGCTGACAGCTCAGAGCCTGGAGCCTGCTTTGGAGTCTATGTCTCCCTCTCTTGCTGCCCCTCCCCTGCTCATGCTCTGTCTCTCTCTCTGTCAAAAAATAAATAAACATTTAAAAAAAAATCCATTCAAATTCATGCAAACCAGGCATCCTTCAGGTTTGGCACTAAGCTTTCCAGCAGCCAATGCAAAGAGGGGAAAGTGAGCGACTATAGAATCCACAACTAAAAACAGCCATGGCTGGCCTGCCTTATCCAAGAAACATTGCACACTGAGACTGTCCTCAGCAGTGTGACCTCGTGTGAACCCCACAGCACCCTGGTATCTGCCCATTTTTCTCACACCCAAAGCAGAGCCCCGCTGTTACATGCACACGTGCTGATTATGTTGGGTGGGGTGCCAGCCTGGTCACGGTTGATAAACCAACCCCTGCCTCCGAATATGGCCAGATAACAGGGTGTTTACGGTAGGCATCGTCACTCGAACACACAGACCTTCCTTTCTCTTAAAAAAGCTTCTGGGACCTGCCTTAGAGGATGAGACCAGAAGTAAATCTGCACCAGTGGAGGGTAAGCGCAGTCAGGAAAGCTGTCACACAGGCACACTCCCAAGCACCTGCTGGGTGAGCAGGCAAAGGGGTGGATGGGTGTGTTCCCCATGCTGCCCAGGGCTGGGGGACAGGGATGCCCCGAGGGAGTGAGGAGCCAGGGGACACCTGTGTAAACGGCCAGCAGCAATCACCACCAGCGGGCTGAATCTCCCGACAGAGGGTGAGATGTCTCCACAAGCTCTGACCCAAAGCAAAGGGAGTCGAGCTGGACCACAAGCAGTGGAGGAGCGAAGGGACAACGGAACTCGGGCATGGGCTTGAAAGCAGGGCGAACTAGCGAGAAGGGAGTGGGTCTCCAAGGGAAGAGGCTGGCAAAATACAAAACAAAATGGACTGAGTCACATAAGGTTTTGTCCCCAAGCCCCACTGAGCTCTGGGTAATTTTACCCACAAGCTACCCTGCACTGAGGTGTGGACACCCAGACGTAACCAGGAAAGGACCTATTGGCAATGTATCGTGAGCAGAAAGAAAAAAAGAGTTAAGAACGTGTGTCTCAGCCCCATGAATATAGAGGGGTAGTATTTTCATTTGTCATTCCCTGGATGACAAAGGAGAAGAAAGTATGAGAAAGTTATTTGAAGGGAAAGAAACAGAAAAGACCATGGGCCCCTGATTGAAGGATTTTTTTTTTTTTTTTTTTTTTTTTGAGCATCACCCTGGGGATTCACCAGAGAGAGAAAGAGACGTAAGAAAAGCAGGCCACTCCCCAGGGAGTAAAAGGAACCAAAAGACACATAGGGACATGCCTGTTGGGACATGACATGGCATGGAGAGAAAATGAGGTACATTTTCCATTTAGAGAAGACTGATCTTAGTTAATGATCCTTACATTCCCTTGATTCAAGTGCGTCCACGTGAAGGTTGACTTTTGAACCATGAGTTTTAGCCAGTACAGCTGTTCTGGGTTTTAACTTCACCCACGCGGATCCTGACCCACTGTCTAAAAGCCTCCTGCCCTTCACACTGGTCTGTGAACACTTTCCTTTGCCTAGACCTGGGAGAATGCCTTCCCCATCCCCATGTTCTGTGTACCTCCAGGCTAGCAATGAGAGCATCCCAGGATGTCTGGCTGATGAGGAAATATGATCCCAAGCTGTAGATTCTCATATAACTTCACCAGAATATTATACCAGTGAAAACATAACTTGAACTTACATGTGGGAAAACACGAAAGTGTGGTAGTCAGGTTTCACTGTGAGACTGCTGTATTCTACGTTGAAAGATTTCAGTAGGACTGTGTTAGCCAGATGACTTCAGGTATCACGTGCAACTTAACTTGTCACTAAGTTTTTTTCAAGTTTATTTACTTATTTTGAGGGAGAGAGAGAGTGTGCGTCGGGGAGGAGCAGAGAGAGGAAAGAGAGAGAATCCCAAGCAGGCTCCTTACTGTCAGCACAAAGCCTGACTCGGGGCTCAGTCTCATGAACCATGAGATCATTACCTGAGCCAAAATCAAGAGCCAGATGCTTCATGGACTGAGCCACCCAGGCTCCCCTTTGTTAAGGCTTTTAAATCATTGATAAAAACGAACTTATTGGGATAAAGTCGTGCCCAGACTGTGACAGAATATATAAAAACGAGTGTAGGTTACAGAAAAAAAAAAAAACAAACACCTGTTTTCTTACTGTTCAAATAGCTACCATTTCCATGTGTCATATGGTGATCTGAAATTGTGGTCAGGACTCCTCCTAATCTATTTTTAAATGAGCTCATCACATGAACATGGCTAGAAAGTTGTCACCTTTGATCAATATGCGAAATATTGAAATATGCCACCTTTGATTTTGATGCGAAAACCCCCCCAGTTAAGGCTCTTAATCATTTCCGTGGTGAGTTTTGAACAAAATTCAAGAGCAAGAGTACTATGAAAAGGTTGCTTATGTTACCCTCCCCCTCTGATTATCCAAAGAACAACAAAGCCAAAATGTGGAGACAATCAAGATGCTCTTGTAGCCAAAAAGACTGGTGAGGCTTATACCTCCTTGGGTGGTGACTTCAGACTTTTTTCCCCTCAGCTAGGCGTAGCCTTGACAGAGGAAGCTGGGAGCCAAGGGCCTGGACCATCGTCGTCAGCAATCAGACCCTCTTGGGAGGAGGGTCCCCCACCTTAAAAAACAGTTTGCTTTGTAGTATGAGGCATTCTTCTGCCCCTAGATTATAATGAAGGTTTTTAGATAATGTTGCCGGCCATCGCCTTGGGCAGTTCTACATAGTGAGGAACTACAAAACGGTGTGACGTATATTCCAATAGACAGAATTTACTACTTTATAGTTGCAGAAGCAATAATTCACAAACATTGCTTTCAGTGTTGTTTTGGGGAGAGAGAGTGCGAGTGGGGGAGGGGCAGAGAGAGAGAATCCAAAGAAGGCTGGGGGGGGGGGGTCAGCACAGAGGTGGACGCGGGACTGGAGCTCACCAGCCTTCTACCTGTGAGATCGTGACCTGAGCCCAAGTCGGACGCTTAACTGACTGGGCCACCCAGGTGCCCCACACTCGAACATTTTTATTTCTAGCACTGCTGAACTGAGTGGGGTCATCACGATGCATTTTAGGCAAACGGGGTGTGAGAGTTAAGGACGGTTTCCCCCCAACTCCCTGTGCTGCCTTCCGAGCTCCTGGGATTGTCTAGCTGAGTGTCTGAAGGGGGTGAGAGGCTGAGTCTCCGCTGGAATCAGGACGGGCAGGACCTACGGGCCGCCAGCTTTGCACGCGCATCCCCTGCAGGTGAAAGCGGTGCTGCCTCTCGCTTGCTTCGCCTGGCACGAGCCCCAGAGGAGTGGGAATCCACAGGGCTGCACCTGCTCAGGCCCCCACAAATGACAGGCTGCTGCAGGATGTGTTGACTCCCCCAGTTAGTGTGACCCAACACACAAGTCTGTGGGCACAGGGCAGTCACCACCCGCCCCCCACCCCGCCCCACGCCCCTGCCCCCTCCCCTGCAGAACTATGCAGGTCAGGTTGTGAAAGCACATCATCCCTGGTTATTTAGAAAGGTGTTTGCAATTCCCAGGAGGTTGCTCTTGTTAAACTCTGCTCATTGTACTAGTAGAAAACAATGAGTGTGATTACTCTTTACTCTCCCTAACATCTCAAGGGAGCTTTTTGCCCATGTGACTCTCCAGGGAGACATGATGACATGGTGACGTCTACCTGTACCCAGGCAGGTGGCACAAATAACTAAAGAAAGAGTATGGGGGAAAAAATAATGAAATTTTAAAGTAAAATGTGTAACTATGGATTATAAACAAATACTTATACTCAGTGTAAAAAGAATATATTTTAAAACTGACATCATGAAATGTAGAGAAATAAGTATCTAATTTTTGCTGGGTATAAGGGGGAAATGCAGTGTATAAATCATGCAGAAAACAAATTTTCTCCATTGCTGGAGGGTATTTGGGATTGGTAGCTAAAACTTTTTAAATTTACAGGTCTTTTTCCAGCATTATTATTATTATTTTTTTTTTTTACATCTTGTCCCAACATCTAGGTCCTAGACATTGGACCTCTTTTCCCCAAGATCAGGATACTTTTTTTTTTCCTCTCCTCATTCGTACAAGAGGCCAGTGAGGATAAATTCAAGCAAACGGTTGTAAATGCCTCTCTTGCCGCACTTAGGATTTTTACAGCAGCCACAGAAAATGAAACCAGGGACGACTGGGTGGCTCAGTCGGTTGAGATTCCAACTCTTGGTTTGGGCTCAGGTCATGATCTCACGGTTCGTGAGATCAGGCTACATGTTGGGCTCCATGCTGACAGTTTGGAGACTGCTGGGGATTCTCTCTCTCCCTCTGTCTCTGCTCTTCCCCCACTCTCTCTCTCTCTCTCTCTCTCTCTCAAAAGAAATAAACTTAAAAAGAAAAAAAGAAGATGAAACCGGCTGGGGATGTGAGTGGATGATGGTAAGGCTGTACCAGGTGGGAGGAAGATGCTGATAGGGAACCTGACCTACAATTAATGAATGACATCAACGCCTTTCATGTGGAACAGCACACCCGAGGGCTGGATGAGACAAGCACGAAAGAAGAGAAAGATATCATCTTGTTAATTGACCTAATCGCACCTCCTCCCCCAGAACTACAGATGATTTATAACACAGAACTTCCTCTAATGCCATCAAACTGCCTCTCCCAGAAACACCACATAGTAGCGATGGTGAATGGTGATCATGAGCGAGGAGAATTTTGCCCCTGCCTCCTGGCCATTATTTCCTCTGCGAACTTACTTAGGGAAAGCTGATGTGAAACTCACTTCTTGGCTTAGGGTGGGTTTTTTTTCCCCTTTATTTTTTTGTTTTTAATTTGAAGCAGTCACACCCTCCACCCCAAACAGACTGCAGATCCCACCGTTGTGTTCCTAACTTTGTGTTACGAACGTTGGACTCTGGAAAGCAACAGCAGTCTTGGCGGAACCAGTGTGGATAATGCAAGCTTTTGGTATTGGAAAGGGAAAAATGAAAAGAGCTGTGCAGGAACAAGAAGTCTGGCATTTTTTCCTCATATTTCTAGGTGATAGACAAATTGTTAGTTACCACACATATAATTTATTAGTAATTGCTCTAATTTGCCTCCTAAGTTTCTAAAGTCGCCAGTTCACTGAGATCAAGTATTTTGTACCTATAAAATAGGAATCATGTGATAATTTAATGAAGTAGCTACCCAGTGAGGGCGATTTTTGTGCAAATGCAGTTATTGACATTATAATTTAGAAAAGTGGGGGAGGGATAACAGAGTCGAACTCCCAAGAAGCCTAGTGACTAATATCACTCACTGGGATTAAAATGCTACGTACACATTTCTTCCTGTGGACATAGGGATACTAAGATAACTTTTCTTTGGGTTGGTTTGCAGTCTGTTTAAAAGAAAACGTGTACTTGCTCCTTGGAGCATGGTAAGGGCTGGATACCAGATCCCTCCTGTGGGTGGTCTGGGAGACAGAGGGCTTGGGAGTTTGCAAATGACAGTAGAGCAGAGCCCCACCGAGCCAGCTGCAGGGATGCTGCAGACTGACTGGGTTGGCACAGCACTTTTGGCTCTTCTCAAAGCAAACGTTCCACTTGTCTCAAAAAATAATTAGCTGACTTCCAGTACTGTTTTAAGGACCTAAATGCAAAACGTATTCTTGCGGCTGGCCTGACAGATTTCTCTCTGTTCCTGAATCTCTGCGATTTACCCACAGAGACATTTTCTACTTATCTTCTCTACTGACTAGCCAAACAAGCTGAGGTCTCATTCTGTCTCTATGGCATCAGCAAAATTGTAAACTCCCCTCTGCTTGCTGAGCTCTGTTCTTGCTGATTTGTAAGAGGCAGGAACACAGCTTAACATTTGGTTCTCAGGTTGAAACTTGTGGTCCTGAAAATGGCAGAAACTAGGAAAATGAAGTTTTTAGCTGACCTTTGACAATGCTGGAAATAGAGGTGACGGAATAAACATGAATTGCTCAGGACATTTTGGAAAGTCACTCCTTTGTCAAATTCAGCTGGCCGACATCCTGGGACTGATAAAATTCCTTTGCAGTTCATCAGAATATAACTTTGGCTCAATCTGTCAAAGTCACAACCACATCTCTCACGAGTACCATTTGGCCACAGGTCAAATCCATTATCACAAACACAGGAGATGTTCCTGAATAGCATTCCTAACCACTGTCGATGTCTACATGCATGGAGTAAGAGCAAATATCAAAAAAAAATGTAAGAAAAACAATGCAGTTTAGATGATCCCTGCTATTTTTATCAAAATCCGGAAACTCTTCCAAGTGACCAAATGGCATTTGGAAAAATAACCATACCCTTGGAACCTGAAATCAGACTGTCAATGATGAAGATTTTAAAACAATGTATGGCTTCATAACTTCCTTGGTACATACTTTTAGCATGTTCACGACCAAGGAGGAGCCCCAGATGAGTCTTCTGGCTTAATGCTTGCTTGATCAATGTTCTGGAAGCAACAGGGCAGGATGGACCACCCATTTATCCTCAAAGTGAGATCCTAGGGCCATCATCATTAACCTAATCTGCTAGCATATCAAAAAGGCAAAATCAGGGTCCCAGCATTTCTGGGAGTGGGGCGCAGGAATCTGGGTTTTTACAAGCTCTTTTGGTGATCGTGACATTCACTGGAGTTTGAGAGCCACTGGCCTCAGGGTCTCTGGGACAAACTGTCAACTGGCAACTGATGGTTTGTGGTTGTACCTGCTTATCTTTCTTTCTGCAGATGGAAGAAATGTGGCAATCGTGCCATCGTCCTTTGAAAGCTAGCTAGGTCCCAGCTGCTGACTTTTGCTTTCTTTTCTCCACAACATTTCCCAATACCTGGATCAGAACTATGGGGCACCATACGTTGAAACTGACTTAAGATGACAGTCTG